ACTTGAGCCAACGGTTTTTCCAATCTTCGAAGCACTTCAAAAAATCATTTTTTTTATCGTGTTCAGCTCCTCCTTCGATGCCGGCTTTATCTCGTCAATCGTAGCGTAACGTCGTCCTTTCATGGGCCTCTTCAGTTTAGGGAACAAGAAAAAGTCACAGGGGGCCAGACCTGGGGAATACGGTGGCTGCGGCATCATTAGTGTGTTGTTTTTGGCCAAAAAGGTCGCGCACATGCAACGATGTGTGAGCAGGGGCGTTATGGGGGTGCAAAAGCCAATTTTTGTTCTTCCACAAATCCGGATTGCTTCGCGCAGATTGCGCATAACTTTCAGGCAATATACCTTATTGATCGTTCTACCCTGCGGCCTACGCGCCTTCAATTATTATTTTCGTCTGTTGTTGAAGTGCTCGGGCGTCCGGCACGCTCTTCGTCGTTCACATCTTCTCGGCCTTCTAAGAACATTTTGTACCACCGATAAACGTTGCTTCGGTCCAAGGTAGCTTCTCCGTATGCCACAGTCAACATTTGGAATGCATCCGCGCACTTAATTTCGTTTTTCACACAAAATTTGATACAGGTTCTTTGATCCATTTTTTTGAATAGGTAAAAATCGAAGACCATCCAAAACACGTGTAAGCAAAGAAGCTGTCAACAATTAAGTGAACATTCAAATGGCCGAGCTTGTCGGCATAAGTGACTGACATGAGTACCAACATAACGCCACAAAAAATCGAAATTCTTACTTTTTGAACACACCTCGTATATGTCGAGTTAGACAAAAGTAAACTTTTAGCAATCTCTCGAGTTGTTATTTTATCCATATCTGCATCAAGAGACCTTTTCTGGTCGTGGTGCATTATCAAAATCGAAATTGCAGGAACGAATTTTTACAAACTTATTTTGGCATTGGCGTTCGATCAACATACATTTTGTCAAGAAACACTTTACTCACTGAAAAAATCATAGACTTCTCTTACGTTCAATGGATTTTTTTTAAGTAAATATTATATCAATAAAAAAATTAACAAAAAAACAATAGTTTACATATTTTTGGCAACAACTTTTCCCGATAATTTTACAAAAGAATTTTACAAACAAGCGTTACCATAGCAACTGTTCAAATATGTAACGGAAAAGCGGTTAAGTGCGAAGTTGGTTGCGAAAAAATTTAATATGATCAGCTGTTGTAATCAAACGAAATTGCTTGGTGAACGACTCAGTAGTATTACAATTGTTTATCGTAAATTTTTTTTTGTTAATATGTCATGTCGCACTATGCTTTTATTGAATGCCAATGTAATGGCGGCCGCGGCAGTCGAGTGGTTAGCATTGTGTACTGGCATTCGGAAGGCTCTGGTTCAAATCCCCGCGCGACCAACATCAAAATGTTAGAGAAAATTAATTTAAATAAAAAAATTAACATAAATTTTCTAACTGCGGTTGCCCCGCGGCAGGGAATGTCAATAAAAAGAAAAACAACAGCCGTTCGGAGGCGGCTCAGTATAAATTGCAGGTCTCTCCATTTGTTGGAAAAACATCGAGAAGCAAAACCACAAATTAGAGGAGGAGCACGGCCGAAAATCGCTTCAGCGGCATTCAATTATAGGCGAAATCAATTAAGAGTGAATTTTATTTGACAATTATTTTTGGGTATAAATTAATTATATAATAATTACCGTTACTCTACAATAGCAGTTTTATGAACGGCAAGAATTTCTCCGTAGTAAGGCATGCTGGTCGTAAGAGGCGTCTAAATTCTAATAGTTTCCGTGGAAGGCGGGTCTTTATACCGGAACGACCCAGAATTTTATCCGGCCAAGAACTATCACCCACGCGACATTCAGCAAAAATCACTTATGTTAATACTTTTGCGGCTACAACATGTACTGATGAGAGCAAAATAGTTCGGTAAGGTGCAAGAGCTATAATCCATGCTGGACATTCGCCGCCATGGATGCGAACATAAATAAACCTAGAAAACACTAAAAATCATATAATCATATATCATCATGTGGACATTATTCTCATATAAAGGTGTATCAAGGTGTTTGTCTGATCAGTATAAAATTCTTATCATATAATAAACCACTGATGGAGACTAAGCAAGAAGAAGAAGATCCAAAATATATTAGTAAAATGAGAGAATAGGGTTGAGCTAATGTAGTATCCAGTTTAATCGCTAAACATCAAACCCTTTGAAAATCTGTGGACACAATTTGAAAAATGCCGTTTGAGAAGAAACACACTGCTTTCGGGAAGGTATTGCCGTCTATTTGGCTCTATGAACGAGAGATGTAATGTAGTCATGAAAAGAAAGACAGCACAACAAAATATTCATAATCTCAATATATAAAATTCTCGTGCCACGGTATTAGACACGATACACCTCTAAAACTATTTGACCGGTTTTAGGGAAATTTGATGTGCATATTCGTTGATCTGAGAATAACATAAGATCTATTTTTCTCACCGGGAAGAGGATCTGGGGCTGATATATTTGAAAAGTTTGAATTGAAAGTTCGATTTACTGGAAATTTGATACATATGTAGCCTTTTGCTTAGTTTATCAGGAGCATTACTTTTGTTTCTAGGAATAGTACTTGCTTACTTGCTTAATAGTCGAGCATTTGACAATTGTCATTTCAAGGAATTGTGCAAAATGGATGTATTTTATCCAAGTGAGAGAAAAAATAACTCTTAAAACGAGAACCGAACTGGTCGTTAATAATTTTATTTATGGTTCAATTTGCTTGAATTTCTTTTTCGTCCGTATGGGCTGCTTGAACTTCGTTTATTCAGACCGCTAAGTAATTAGATTAAACTACGCGGTCTGAATTAGCAAAGTTCAAGCAGCCCATACGAGAATTGCCCATGTTCGTGTGTTGACAAACCATCTTTAGTAGTTTGCTCTTGCTTGCCCGCTACCATATTGCTTTCTGCTGATCGAGCTCATTCAAATAATTCACATTCAGATTTGAACTATCTACATGTATTTTACTATCACTCTTAATGTAATATTGGATGAGTGCATAACTTCGTGCCCGATTCCGCTGGATGCCGTTCGAATCGTTTGAGAGTGGCGCTCGTGAAAGAAATATATACATATTATATATCGTTGGAAAGGTGACAGTCCGAATTGTAAATCAAGCATAAAATAATTTCATTTTGATTTGAGTTGCTTAGTGAAAAGACGCATGGAAGATGGACAACGAAAACGATCATATGCGTCATACTATGTTATACGAATTCCGTAAAGGAAAAACAGTAGGCGCTGCAACTAAAGATATTCGCGAAGTTTATTTGGACCGTGCTCCAGCACTCCGCACAGTAAAGAAATGGTTCGCGAAATTTCGTTCTGGAGATTTTAACCTCGAAGATCAACCTCGCAGTGGGCGGCCTTCTGAGCTTGATGACGATGTTCTAAGGACTTTAGTTGCGAATAACTCACGTATTTCGACGGAAGAGGTTGCCAGTGAATTGACCGTCAACAAATCAACTGCGTTTCGTCGTTTAAAAAAGGTTGGGTACACTTCGAAGCTCGATACATGGGTGCCACATCAGTTGAGTGAAAAAAACAAAGTGGACCGTATGTCAACAGCAATTTCTTTGCTTCGACGGATCAAAACGAACCTATTTTGGATCGGCTCGGGACTAGTGATGAAAAATGGATCCTGTACAACAATGTTCAACGCAAAAGAACATGGAAACAGGCACACGAAGGGGCGGAACCGATGTCGAAAGGTGGATTGCATCCGATAAAGGTACTGCTGTGCATTTGGTGGGATATCTGAGGCGTGATCTATTTTGAGCTCTTGCCAGCTGGAGAAACGATCACTGCCAACAAGTATTGTCAGCAATTGGTCGAATTGAAGAAAGCAATTGATGAAAAACGTCCGATTTTGGCCAATCGCAAAGGAGTTCTTTTCCATCATGGCAACGCCAGGCCACATGTTCCAAAACCGACCCTGGCCAAACTGAAGGAGATGAATTGGGAAATCATGCCGCATCCCGCATATTCACCCGACATTGCACCTTCTGATTATCATTTCTTTCGATCGCTGCAGAACAATTTGAATGGAAAAAAAATTTAAAAATGTGGAAGACGTCAAAAACCACCTTGACACCTTTTTTAACGAGAAACCGCGCGATTTCTATGAATCAGGCATCCGTAAATTGGTTGAACGTTGGGAGTAGATTGCCGAACATGATGGCGAATACATAATTGATTAATAAAAGTGCTTTCTTCAAAAAATTTCAATTTTGAGTTGCACTTGAAATCGGGCACGAACTTATGCACTCATCCAATATAAAGGCATGTAATTAAGGCGGGGCGAATTTCGCTGGGTCGGATCTCTCTTCAGCGCTTCTTATGTATCCATGTATAAATAGTTGTTTTTAAAAATGAAAAATCTAATGGACCAATATAAATAAATAATTTGCATACCCAAATGTCTGTTTAGGCTGCAGCAAAAAGAGTATGAACTTAAAAATAATGATTTGAATGATTGATTTAATGAAATATATGGAGAGCATTGCTGAGGAAATTCTCGCAACTGTACATATGTACAAATATATATATTATGTGACAATTTCTTAAGGCGGAATCGTAGTATAAATTGTAGTTTAATTTGCCTTTCCTTCAATAATTACCAATTCGCAGTTTATAATTAATGTTGGCAGCGGATATTGTTATTAAAACAATGATGCACACACAAATGCACCTATACGCATAAATAAGTAGATACATATCGTTGAGTAAATTTTACAACTGCAGCATATCACTTGCGAAAAGCAACTGCTAGACATTTAACTTTCCTGGTGTTTCATCATGAAATATTTGTGCTGACGCTGACATCGTGTAGCCTACTGAGGGCCACTACTGGCCGGTATCATAATTTTTGTAATGTGTCAAAAGATTAGCTTCGCTTCACGCGCTATAAAATACAGCAATTTCATGACAATTTTATCACTTTTTGTATTTTTTTTTTTTTCTTGCAGGTGCGGTTTCAGCTAGCTCAAGTTTGATACCCGGCGGCCATTGCCGTGATTATAATGGAAAACTTTATGAAACAGGCATGCACTACATGCCCGGGCCAGATTCGTGCCGCCTCTGCATATGTGACAGTGGACTTCCGAAGGCCTGTAAGATGGTCTTATGTGAGGCATTTAGTAAATGCAAATCATTTCAAGTGGGCAGTGGCAATAACTGTTGTGAGGTGATCTGCCTTGATGATCAGTTTACGGATGGCAGTACTGATTTTGGTATTTGACTCGTGGTCAGTGGCGTCATAGCCACACTCACGTTATCGTTGGGTTTCTTCGCGTTTAATCGTCTAAGACAAAGGAAGCTACGAGCACGTGAAAGTCGACAAAATGCCGAAGATCAGCGCAGTATTGTCGGTAGTATTGGGTAAGTCGAGCATTTTATTACCGTTAAATTGAACTATTCAATTTAACTTATAAATAATTTAATCGTTTATTTTAGCTACATAGCTGGTAATATGGGTTACATGGAAGGCAATATGAGTGGCATGGATTATTCATATGCGAGTGGTGCTTCACATTATCCACTTTGGAAACCAGCTAGTGGTTACTTTCCACGTGGCGAGGCGCCACCACCCTACGAGGAAGCTGTAGCGATTTCACAAGCAGAAGCTTTAAGTGCACAATGTACAGTTAGTGTCGCAACGACAGCACATCGGGCTATGGGCTTAAACGCCACAGTCACACCCGTTGAATTGACCGCCGAAATGCGTCGCAACATGCAGCAGCAGCAGCAACAACAACAACAACATCAACAGCAGCAGCAACAGACATTGGTGCAGCAGCATGCAATACATTTGCATCAACCGTCAATGCAGCACAATATCGGTGGTGTAAGCGCCAATAGTGGCTTAGGCGGTATGTCCAATAGCTCACAGGCAATGCAACACCACGTTGGTCCAATGTCATCTACAGCACAACAACAACATCATCAGCAATCACATAACCAAATAACACAAAGCACAACCAATTTAATTAATATAAATATTAATAGTGGGGGAAATGTTACCACAATTGCAACCGGCGAAAATCATCAACCGCCATATAGGTAAGCACTTCAAGGATTCCATCATATTTTTGTGTAATAGTACTGACGTTTTGAATGCGATCAAAAGTAGAAGAGTGAGAATGTGTTCTAAATGGCAAATGAACGCGTTTAAAGTTTTTTATATTTATTCCTAAAATAACTTGCTATTTTCACTAAGTTATGAATTTAAATTTTAACTAAAAGGTTTTCCAATAAGAGGTGTTCTTAGTTCTGTTCGTTGATCAGATGGGCAGTAAAGAAATTTTACTGAACTTTACTTTACTACTTACACACGATTTTGACGTTTAATTTGGAGAGAAAGTTCCAATTTCGTACTGGGAAAATATCAGTCATTAGAAACTAGTATGAGAACAGCTTATTTGTGATCATATGATTGAATTTTTGTGAAAAAAAAACAAAATTGATTTTAATTAAAAATAATATTAATTCCCTAATATGAACGAAAAATAAGTGCTTAAATATAATTTTACAACCGACCCCACGTTGGACGGTTATTGGACCTTACTTTTTCGAAAATGAGAGATGATTAAGGATTTATCTGGGCAACGTTCACTGGCAACAAGACAGCACTACGTCTCACACAAGCAATGAAACCATCGATCGATTAACATAACACCTCTTATTGGAAAACTCTTTATTCTAATATTGTTGAGGATACGGATAAGGGCGGGTTATTGCTTAATTGTCAAAATATGGCTACTTATTTAGGAATTCTAAGATGTCCGTAGAGAGCCAATAAGACCCGCATTTTGGGGTATTTATTTAAAGATGATAAAATATATAAATACATTTGTACAATAGAAATTTAGTTTTCCTATAATGGTTATGTACGAACTAGATCGTGTGAAGTACGTGGTTTAAGGCAAGTTGATAGTATCTCTCTTTCTAGAATCCAATTACGCGCATAAATATGTACCTTTTTATGTATGTAATATTTCTAAAATTTTCAGCTTACAACACGATAGTAGTAATAACGTTCTACAGGAACCTCAACATCACCAACATATAACACAGTCATTACAACAACAACAACCGCAACTGATCAATACCACACATATAGCCAATAGTAGCGGAGGGCGTCTTCACTTGACTGCCGGCACACCTAGTAATTCAATTTGTGTACAGACACTATCGGGTGGAGGTAGTAGTGGCAATCTGTCATCAACTCAATCTTCGCAAATAGTAGGCCCGAACAAGTCTCTTCACCTTCAACAGCAACAACAACACCATCAACTCACTGCAAATGTCGCCTGTCAGGCTTTACAACAGGCAATATCATCGTCTGTGGGCTCTTCATCTACTAACAACGAGTGCAGCTATAAAAATTGCCACCTTAATATAAGCGCTACTAGCACATCGGCATCGGCTATGACAGGTACACAGCAACGCCGCACACAGCAACGCACAACACTGCCAAGTTCAGCCACCCACGTAGCACACGATATGCTACAACAATTTGTGACCGTTGCTGATGTGGAAATCAACGGTACCGCTGTTGGCTATCACTCTTTACCGAGTGGCAATGGCGTCAGTTGTGTTGGTGATGGTGAGAATGATTTACTCAGCGCTACTCCCACATCAGCACAATATGCTGGGCCACATATGTCAAGTGCCATTTCTAATCCCACCATAGATGTGTTACCATTAATGAGCGGAGAAATCGCCACTATATCGAGCAACACCAGTGATTCAATCACACAAACGGCTCTAAGCGCCGTTGCAGGCTCCCATACACTGCCTACAAATGCACACACTCAAACGTTAAAGAGCGGTAGCAGCAGCACCAATAGTATCAGTAGCCAAAGCAGTAAAACCCCCTCCTCCTCACGACGTTATCATCGCACTATACCACGATACTTTGCACTTACCGATCCCTTGAGTGCCAAAGAGGCGTATGGCGTTAGTAAGAGTAAATCAGATAATAGCACACGAGTCGGTGTAAATAGCTCTTCGAGCACAAACACATCTAACAGCAAAAAACCCACCTGTCAATGTCCGGTGCAACATGTGCCGATGTCATATATGGCAGCAACTCAATTAACTAATGCTGCACAATGTGCCAATAATAGCGCGCTACTCTCGGCCCTAAGTACTAAGTTGAATGCTGCTTGCCAGTCATCGGCTGCATCGCAAACTTCTTCAGCGTCATCAACATTAGTAACGTCGCATGGAGGTAGCGGCTCGGGCCGTTCCAACACCATTACTTCGTTGGGCTACACGCAACGTGCCAAATCCTCTAATAGTCTGCAGCAATCTTCTGCAAATGATATGAACAATTGCTTTACTGGGGGTGGCACCTTAAAACGAACTACACACAACATCAGCACCAGCACAAATAACAATAATACTAATGGTAATGCTGCAGCGCTGTGTAGTTATGATACGAAAATTGCCACTATATCTAAGCAAGTCGGTGATAGTACACCCGTAGACATGGGGAGCAGTACCATAAGTAGTCATCATCATGCAGCTCATCATACTGCGCATGCACACCATTCTCATCATGCTCACAGTGTTGTTGTTTTGCCAACACAGAGCCATGACGAGAGTATGCCAATTGTTTTGGGGCGTGTTCAAAAACGATCAAGTGGTGAGCGTGAACGAGAGCGGGAGCGCGAAAGAGAACGTGAACGTGAACGCGAACGTGCCCGTAGTGCGAGTAGTGGCCGAGCTAGCAGCAGTAGCAGTGCACACCACATGGAAAGTAGCGCGGCTGCAAATTACCTGAATGGAAAGGTGAGTGGTAGATGAGGTAAGATAATGCTGAAAAATACAGTATTTTGAAAAAGAACTTCATAAATGAAATAAAATCTATGATATTAAAATAAATGTATATATTTTGTGCCCATTGAATGCAAATAAATAAAGATCTTAACAGTTCGTGAAAGGGTAAATAACTTTTAATCATACATTTTTATATTATTGTTATCACTTAGAGCGATGCATACTTGAACTTTCCCCATCCACAAAATTTCACCACCCTCAGTTCACAACATCAGCAGCAGCACAACCACCACCAACAACAACAAACCAACGATTCAAATCCAATATTACCACCGAAACTACACAAATCTCTAACGAATTTAAAATCTACAACAAACAACAATCATAGTATTACGAATGCAACAACACCGACTACATGTGCTGCCGCTGCTGTTGTTGTACCTACCCTCACCCCCACCACTACAACCACGATATCATCAAGTTGTACTGCAGTGCAAACGGTATACACCCTGAGCAAAGCAACTACAACAACAGCGACACATTCCACTCGTAAGGAGCACCATAATATCCATGATTCAACATATGGCAGCAGCAGTAATAGTAGTAGTAATAAAAACTCGCCTCCATCCCTCACTTTGCCATTATCACCGGCGATAACTAATAACGTTGGCGATACGTTCAGTAGTAGCGGCAATGTTGGCTCTAACAACACCCATTCTACCGAGAAACCAAACAAAATAAACTCTAGTACATTTTATCCACTCCAAAACAGCCATGTTACATATACACTGCCGAAACACATCAGTGGCAAAGTGTCATTGAATAGCACAATTGCTAGTGTGGTCAGCAAGGTGCCCTCTGTGATTAGTATACCCGTGGGTGGTGGGGAAGTCGATATATTAGAAAACAACAATGGCGGTTACGCAAATAACGCACCGAATCTAAGTACTATAAGTAGTAAAAATGAGTCATCGTCAATGGTTTCGTCGAAGAGTGCTGGCTCAAATGGACGTAGCACAACGTTGCCAAAAATATTGCGTGCCAAAAAACTGCAAGATGTTAATGCTGGCAGCAATTGTAATAGCAATAATACACTAAAATCTTTTCATGGCACAGCTTCGTCTGGAATGACCACGTCGATTGCAAATGCGTCTACGTCAGTATCACAATGCAAAATGCCCGCTTATCCACAACAGTATAATAGTCACCATGGCAAAACAACAACAACAACAACGGCTAATGCAACAACACAATTCAATTCTAATATATCTGGAAGCAGTTCCCTATCTGCTGCTAAACACTTGCCCGTCTGCACCACCTCTAAGAATTGTCACAATCCAAAGGAGCATTTTTTGCCGAACGACACAAGTTTAGATGATGATTATTTAAGTGAGTGTGAGAATTGTAAAATAGCACAAAGCGCCAAATATTATTTGAATGATGAAGAAGTTGAGGCAACACCACAAGAGACAATGACATTGCAACGCAAATCGATGGAGGACAATAAGGACGAACAAGAACAGGCTTATTATCGAATTTCACACACACTACCAACAAATCCAAAGAAGAATGCGTAAGTATTTTAAGATTCAATGGACATTTATATGAATACACATATTGTCCTCACCGCGGTATACGCTTGCATATTGGAGCTGTTCTTAGGAAAATTATTTTTGTCAGGTAGATTCATTGTTCTCACGCAATTCAAACTTGCGAACGTGATTATGTAGTACCATGTAAAAAGTAGCGCCGAAAATACTCTTTCTTCCTGTTTTCCAACAAATTTTTGAAAACTTTGGTAAGCACCATTTTGCAGTTACCGTCTGACACTTTTCCAGGCGAATAGCAGCTACGATTTTAGATCGGGTGAAGTAAAGTGGCATCATTACTTTTGGTGCTGATTTTTGTTGCTTAGATTTTACGGGTGGGTTTAGTTTTTGGATCTTACTTATAGAACCAAGATTCGTCATCAGTTTAAGAAGAATTGAGCAAAATTCACAGGAGCTTCTTTTGGGCCTCATTTAAAATTCGTGGTACCCATCGAGCTAATTTCTTCTTCATCGCAGATGGTTACTTAATATTCACGCTACAGCCATGTCGTTCAAGCCCAATATTAGCAATAATTTCAGGTGTCAATCGGGGGTCTTCGTCAGTTTTGGACTTCACCAGAGCTACAGTGACGTCATCAGTGGAAGATTTTGGTCGACCTACCGGTACTCGTCTTCTACGGAAAAATGTCTGATCTGAAATCTTTGGAACCACTTAGAAATAGTCTTTAAAGACGGTGCAATCGTTCCATATGCAATTTAGCATACACTGAATATTTCTATTAGCAGTAAATTACGTCGAAACCCGAAGAGAATCACGAATTTCTGTTTGCGTTGGCAGTGGAATTTCGTCTTACGTATTCCATTTTCTCCATTTTAGTCGATCGTTTTAAAATTCGAAAGGAAGACTAATAGAGTAATTGCAAACGATTTGGTATTTATAGATTTAACAAAAACAAATTGAAAGTCACCAACTGACCAAATTTGTGTTAATCCCCTCGTATATGTTCCCATACAAGCTAATGGATCTTAGGAATACACATATTTCCTTATTCAATCCATCAAAATTTGTCTTCCCGCAATGCTGTTAATTTTTAATTATTATATTTTATTCCATACTTTCAGTCCAATTAAAAATAACAATCGTGAACCATGGTTTTCTACAATTCCTGCTAGCTCATCGTCCGAAGAGGATGTCAACGAATGAGATTTAACTCATTTTCTTTAAATAGAAAAGAAAAAAAAAAGATTTGTTTGCACGCACCAAAATAGCAAATAATCACGTATACGCACACTCAACTACAAGCGCACTAATTACTCAGCAACGGTGTTAAGAAAACAGGTATTTGATGAATTCTATACAGCAAAATTATCTACATACATAAATGGATATGAAAACAATAGTACGAGTATTAAATATTAGTGCTACACAGTAAAGGGTAAGTCTTAATGAAAATTTATGCCATATAGACAGTTATATGTTAAAAAGGAAAGTGTGAAAACAGAACAAAAAGGCAATACTTACACAAATTTAAAGGAATTAAGTTGCAAACAATCGATTGTAAGTAATAGAGAGCTAATTGTGTTGGCATTTTAAAGCAAAATATAAATTGCGTAATGCAATAAACACATTTTCGTTCTTTTGTTCAGAGCTCGATTCAGCAGTGCTTTGCGAGTAATAAAAAAGTATTATTTTCCACAAAGAAGAAAAATAAAAACAAAATAAAAAATAAACAAAATAATTCATTCCAGGTATGCATAGAAAGTTTAAAAAGCAAACAGGCTCCCTCACATTATAGTATGAGCAAAAATAGTATTAAATGCAAAAAAAAAAAAAAAAAAATGTACAATTAAGCGATACCAAAAATTCAATCCAAAATAATTGTTATGTATAGAAAAATGTTCATAAATTATGCGCTTGAATTATTTAGTAGATAATTAAAACGGAATAAAATAAAATTTTCGTTTAATATGTTCATAATTATAAGATAAGAAAAAAAAATGTATTAAAATTTTCATTAATATATGGATGTATATAATGAGAAAATACGCTAATGAAGGGTATTCATATTTTTTTGTGAACGAACAGCAAGCTGATCCATAAATTTTCTTAACATTATATGAAGAGAATCATGAGAAAAATTCAATACAGTACAAAAATTTGTATAAAAAGAAGCGAAACACGATTAAGTTTTGTGCTGAATTTTTTTTCAAACAAAATTCATGATTAAAACTATGTATTTACGAGGAAGCGTTTTTATATTCACAGAATGAGTGCGTTGTAGGTGGTAGTTTAGGCTCATTATTTTCATAATTTGTTCAGTGACTTATAATTAGGACGAATACGAGGTTTCATTGTTATTAGACAAATAATCTTTGAGCTATGGTCAACTAAAAAACATTATCGGCAGTGAATAGTGAAATGCGGAAAAAAATAAATATCGTGTCGTTATAAAACTCCTTATCGAGCAAGAAAAATCAGTTGTGTCCATAGTGAATTCGATATCATTTGCTGCCCACTCTTGTCCGGGAAAAACCATGATATAAAAGTGATGCAGTTTATTTAAATAAGGAATTTAATCAATGAAGACGACTCTGGTTATTTAGGAATTTGGAAATTGCTTCCCAGTTAATAGGAGTGTTGTATGACCCCAGAGCAACGTCTGCGTTTCCGGTTATTTTATTTCATATCACATTTATGATTCCGAAGTAACGAGGAGTGCCTTTTTCGTTCACGTATATTCTCAGAATTGTTTCCACGCTCTTTTTCCAAGAAGCGAAACGACATCTGGTACCAAATCAAGTCCTGTTAAATTATTGGCGTGCCTGGGCTCAATTATCTGATCTGATTATAATTCCCTAGTCGGGGTTTATTAAATTTTGTAGTAAAGTTGGTGCTTCTGATACAAGCACTTGTGTAACTATGGTGCGAATGGCATTCGCTAACTCTAAGCTAAATTGAGGGTTAGTAATTGGTGTTTATGCATATTTGATTACATTTATTCAATTACTTAATGAGTTTAGGTTTTTTATTTAGATCACTGAGATTAATATTATTTCAATCTTTGTATTTATTAACTATTTATTCCTTATACTTTCTTATTTATGAATTGCGATTTTTCAGAAGGTTTTCTTTCTCCTTTTTCACTGAACTTTTTTAACATTTATTTAATATATTTATACAAAAAAAAAATTGTTTGTTTAATCTTACTTTGCTTATATTTTCTAAAATATCTTAAACTAATTCTTACCTAAAAAGCATTCCACGGTCCCACTCGGGGTTCAACAATGCACGCCCTTCGTGGGGCCGGGCGTTTTTCAAAAGAAATTATTCAAAGGTTTTTGATGATGCTCTCGCGACCTGGCACTACTTGGTCCAAAACAAAAGTCATAAAACTGGGTTTCGGCACTGCTTTAGGGCCTATTTTTTATTAGCGGATGTGGCTGGCCGTTGGGCGCTAGTTAACTTAATCACGGTTAAGTTATTGAAAAAAATAATATTGCGGTGTTGGCCAAATGATTGCGCGTGTGCGGGCTATATGATGCGTTGATCCGGCGCGGCAGACATGGCATCAGCGTTTTACCAGTATTGTTCTTGTGGGTGCGGTGCTGTAACGTGGAAAACGTATGATTGAAGTTTTTGAATGTTAAGAGCGTTAACTTACACTTATATGCCTGGTAAATTAAATGAAATCATTTCTATCTTTTATTTCTCATTCCGCGAACATAAAAACGCTCTATCGCGTGTACAAGAAATTTATGAATAGATAGATTGTGGATGCTGTGGAATGTTAAAAGAAAACCTAGAATTATTTAAGCAACGAGCAATGTGAATACCCTTTCATAAGTAAATGTACATAAAAATATATATAATAAGGTATTGAATTGTATTTGGTAAAGTAGTGTGTGTGTGTTAATATCATAAAAGGTGTTAATAAATCTCGGACGCAATATTTCAGGATATGCTAATTTTGATAATTCCCAGGAACACCTTGCAAAGCTAGGAGCATCAAAAGTGATATTTTTTTAATTATTTTTTCTATACCTGAGCGCATTTAAATCCTCACTTTATTTCAGCGTGTGGAAATAAATATTTAAAACCACCAAAGCACTATTTATAGTCGTTCATTTGTCGCGAAAATTGCAACTAATGGAACGAGTCCATCAATGTCAATCTTGTTTCTTCAAGGAGTTAATGGTTTCGGTATTGGAACTTTTCTTTACTTTATCCTTGTTGTTCCAGATGTACTTTTCTTTATAATAAATTGATTATAGAAATATATTGATGGGTGAATTATATTAATAGATGATTCGCAGGACTCTAATGAGTAAAAGTTGGCATGTTGAGGCTCTGTACCGCAACGGGGTGTTGCCATTTTTTTTCCTTTTATACTTAATTTCATAGTAAAATGCAGAAAGTCTTAATCCTCTTACAAGTTTCCTCCTTTATGGAGAATAGCCGGGTCAGAGTTTATAGTCAGTTTCAATTAGGAATTTCCGTCCGAATAGTTTGGGTCGGAAATATTTGGTAGCCCTAACGATGACCAAAAGTTCATTCTTTATTTTGCTATAAATGCATTCATATTCGTTAAAAGTACGGCTCGCAGGAAATCGGGTGGTTGTCATGAGAGGATTGCACCTAACGCGTAGTTACTAGTGCCTGTCGTTAAAGTAAATTTCTTTGAATAGTCAGAATATACTAGTATTGGGTCAACACAATTGTAGGCCTTAGATTTCTCATTATGTGCTTCCACTTCGGCGCTTGCTTGTTGTCGTCATCTGCACCAACCTCTGGACAAACGAATTCCACAGTTATTTTTGTTCTTAACTAGCGCCAAAAATACTCTGTGAGAAAAATCGCGAATAAGAGTTACTATGAATCGTGATCCTGAAAAGAACTTAGCTGGAAACGGTCTCATTACGTTCTAGTTGTAGTTACGCGCGAGACAGATTTTGGGGGCGCCACAAATAAAAAAAAAATTATTAGCGTTAAGACGCTCTTTATTGAGTAAATGGATATACATTTCTGAATACAAAAAGTTCTTACAAGCTAATTTATTAACTATTTAAGCTAAATCAGCAAAATTGGTTTACTTATTGTTCAATTGAAATTCTTTGCCATCTAAAAGTGTCGTCACACTTATTATTACTTCTTAGTTGACAAATTCTTTATTGTTGTGCAATATGAAGTATTTTGTTATGTGTAACGTTACGCTGACCAGACAACCTCGATTCGGGTTTCTCTTGGAGTGGAATGGCCAGATGGCGTTATTTGTATTGTCATTGAATTGTTTATTTATCGTAATTTGTAATGCGATAATTTTTTTGTTGAACTTTCAAATAGCACAAAATTTCCTGTCTGTCTATTAAAATTTCCTAATTTACTAAAATTTATACATTAGTGAATAAATGCATAAAAAAAATTTTTCTAGTATTAGGAGGCAAAAATATGGACATACAATTTTTTTTTAGGAATATTCTTACCCATTATATACGTTTTTTTAAAAGTAATTTAATTTCTAATTGGTTACTACACAATTCAAACACTCAAACACTTTAAATATTTTCAGTTTTGTTTAAATGAAAACGAAATTACTTTTATTAAACTTGGATATTGTTCAAGCTGTGCAGTGCAAGAAAAATCGTTAAAAATACAGTGTTTTTGCCTCCTACTGCGATAAACTGTAACGGGTCTAATATGTTTTGTCGCAGTAAATTTTGCTTAGTTGCATTTTTTCGCATATAAGTCATGAAAGTTCGAAAGGAAATTTCTAAAAATAAAATATTTATTTAAACTTTACAAATTAAATTACTTAAAAGCTAATCCATGTTGCACTGGCCGGTTGCGCGTGTTGGGCTTCCGCTTCACACCGAAATAGGACCTTCGTTTATTTCGATTTTTTTTGTACGTATTTCTTTTTTTGGACAGTAGTCAGCGAAACTTTTCCCATTCACAATAGTAAAAAGCTGTCAAATATGGCAGTTCTGCAATGTTATACTATATTTCTACATACATTTGCAGTAGAGAATAATGCACCAGGTTAATACCAATGAGGTTTTTTTCAGCAAATGATCCTTGCAGTCTCTCCTCCCTATGACATAACGCTATCCTTTCAAAATGGAACAATTTGACTTAAATCGTTTTCCTCCCATTTTTATTTTGAAACATTTCTAAATATAAACATTTAATACTTACACACTATCCTTATGAACCTAGCTTCAACTATCTACTCTCCTCTTGAAACAGTTTCATTACTTTCATGCCCATAAAAACCTCTTGCGTTTAGTATATTATAACACAAGTTCACTGAGTTAATGAACGTGTAACGTTTTATTTTATGTAAATGTGTATATATATGTTACATAGATTTGAGAATGCAGTCGAAATTCGGGATTAGAATTCTCGTTTAAATCGGCTGTTCGACATAAAAAACGTACAAAATCTGTTAAAAACTGCACCGTCCTTCAATTTTGATCATACTATACTTGTAATTAGTAATAAGTAATCCTTCTTAAAGTGAAATCAATTATGCTAAAAAGAAAAACAAAAAAAGAATTATCTTTTGACAAAACGAAAGGAAATAAATGATTTGGGTAGTTATTAGTATTATATAAAAAATATTACCAAATGGTGGACATTTCCGTAATGTGTATTTTTTTTTGGAACAGCTTTGCTGCACGCAGTTTACAGGGTGCAAAAGTACATAAAATCATTAGTGGTATGAAGAGTTTGGTCGCTAAAGATCGTGAGTGATCAAAGTTTTCCTTTTAATTAATATTAGTTGCAAAACTTATCGGACTTATAATAGGATCCGATCGTCAAAGTGATCTAGCACCGATCTTCTTATTCTTAAGCCTAATCCTTCACAATTATACCGAGTATAAGTTAAATAAAACAATGTTTTATTTAAAAAAAAATATAATATTTTATTTATTAATTAAGAAGTGTATTACTTCTAATGAGTGGTACTTTATGACTAACTTGTTGTCAACGTGTAAAGTTATTATAAGCAAGAAATTTATTTGGACAATGCATTGCACATGTTACTGCAACATGAGTAGCAGCAGTTGAGTTGCAGACATAGCGTCAGCAAATACGTCCCCCTTTAAATAGCTCAGTGTCCTCACTGAGGTGCACTGAGGTCAAGGGAATCAGATTGATTTTTGAAGTATTTGTTATTCCCTCCTGCTTCCTGGATGTTTCATCTGAAATCTTTTCATTCTTGTCGATAACTGTTGTTACTGGAAATGACTTAATTCGTCTTTGGAGGATGATTTTAAATGCAATTATAATTAAAGGTAACATTACGAGTCCAGATAGACTGGAAACACTAAGCTGGTATTTAGCTACCAAAGCCTTTTTTTCTTTACTGTTCACACTGTGTAATTCCTTTAGCATTTTTAGTGAGAGAATTTCTTCAAAATTAAGGAATATGTTCCCTGGTTGTATTATGGCAGGTAAAGGCTTAGCCCTAGAAATTTGTCTACTTTCGTAAGTTCGTTTGTTGGCTTTAATTGTGGCATTATGAAATTCTATCAGAAATGTTCCCTCCAGATTAACTAGCGTTTCTTATGTTTCTATAGTTCCATTATAAGCATTCAGTAGGAGTATACCAGGGTAAATTTCTTCTGTTCGTGGTATATGTTTTGCGTTTGTCATTGTGCAAGCGGAAGATTGTCCATGAAGTAATTTTGGCAAACATGCGCTGTTTGAAATATTTTTAAAGTTTCCTTCTTTACTAATTGGCACGTCGTTGAGCGTTTTACATATATTTATAATTTCTAATACAGAATTCTTACATACTATTACGTTATTATTTGGAATCTTAATTATGGAATCGTTCTTTCTTACTGCTTTTACTGTTAATTTTTTACAATTTTCTTCATTCGTTTTAGGCAAGCTAATAATAATAAATCAAAGTTAATCCATTTGATGCTATTTTAATATCTCCATACTCAATGGCTTCTAAAAGATTTTCATATATTTAATTTTTTGTTCGTCAAAAAATTCTCTAGTTATTCTTAATTCCAAATCTGACAATATGAAAGAATTATTATTTCTTCTTTTATTATTTTAAGTTTTCTTTCTAATGATTTTGATAACTCATTTCTAATTTCATCATTGGGTGAAATAATATTTACATATATTTTATAATTTCATTAGTTCTATT